TTGACTGGTAACTATAGATGCGGGAGGTGCATTTCATGCAAATTTATGAAAAAAGACTCCAAAATAGTCAAAGACAGTATGGAGAAGGAGGCGTTTACTATAACCTCCTTCTTCAACTGTAATACATCAGGGATTGTATATTTACTTACCTGTGAATGCAATAAAAAATATGTGGGCAAAACATTCCGCCCCTTTAAGAAACGCATACAAGAACACATTAGATCTAGCAAATATTCAGCTGAAACCCCTATCTCTAGGCATCTTCGCGAATATCACAACAACGACCCCAAGGGGTTACGCTTCTGCGGTTTAGAACTGGTAAAAAAGAACCCTAGACGTGGTGATTATGACCGATTCCTCAGACAAAGAGAATGTTTCTGGATTTATCGGCTGAAGACTCTGAATCCTAATGGTCTGATTGAGGGGTTTTCTTTCTCCCCTTTCTTATGATGTCCATATACACCATATGTAATTTTCTCCTACTTTACTGTGTGTGTCCCTTCCCATTGGTTAAATAAGAATTTAAATAATATCAACTGTTTTGATATAGTCTTTAATACAAACTCTCAATCCCTATTGGTGTACATTTAATTAATATTCTAGTTTTCTTCCTCTTTACTATTCTAATCATGACAGGCATCTCTGACTGTTTTATATGTATGATATAATCGAAAGCAGATTATGCTTTATGTGTACTGTTCAACTTCATCATATATCTCTCATATAATGCTCCTTTTTGAGGCTTTACCTCCCAAGGATTTGCTCTATGGTATCCGTTTTGACTTATGATTCTATTTTTTTACATTGATCTCACCGTTTTCCTAACCGGCATAACTGCCGGCTAGAGCATCCCTTGGCTCCTCCCCCTCCCGTGATGCGGCCTCATACGTTCCGCCATGACGTCACGGGAGAGGCGGGCACTAGCCCTATTTAAATCCTGACGGCAGGGGGATCTCCTTGCCGCTCTTGAAAAAGGCGCCACACAGCGCCGAAACGCGCGTTGAGCTAGTTGAGTCAGTTTGAAGCTTAGCCTAGCTAGTCACTTTCCTATACGTGAGCTAGTTGAGTCAGTCTGAAGTTCAGCCTAGCTAGTCACTTTACTATACGTTTGATTTAGATCTAGACGGACTCCTCTCTCTAGTGCTAGTTAGAAGTCCAGCCTAATTTTAGTACCTTTCTATGTTACCTACTATGTTGGATTTAGATTTTAGGCGGCTCTCTCTTTCTCAATGATTTAGTCTTGTACAGCTACATTGCATGGGGTGGGGTTTTTGTGGGTGATGTGCCTGCTGGTTGGGAGCTGTTCTCCCTTCCTTTCTTTTTTGTTTTTTATTATTTAGAAGGCAGGGGCAGTTTTCTGAGACTTAGAGTAGTGCTATACTGCAACTCCTCTTTCTGAAATAATAACCCTATGGTATACAAAATTATACTAAGATTTGAAAATATTTTGCTACATTTTAGCAACATACTTCTAATGTTGCTACTCTGTCTGCTTTTGCAAGCACTTCATTACTTTTGAACTGTGGGGCTGACTACTATCTAGATGAGTTGAGCTATCTGGGTATCTTTTTCTATATATATTAGAGGAATTTCTCTCTGTACTTATATATACTATATCATTGATCCCAGATTTATCTCACTAGTGTAACCAGCACCTTCTACCCGTCTCATCTACTATCTATTTAACGGGTTTTTTCAGCTTGCCACAAACTCCAGGGAACCACACTTGATTTATCTTATTGGGTGGTATTCCCATAATAGCAGTTTGATTATATCCCGTGCAGACACTCTGACTAAGGACTTTCCTGAAACATGTTACACCAAGACACTCCACTAGGATATGCAATTTGGAGCACATAAACTCCTAGGTATCCTTTGTCTCATATTCAGTGCCATATAACAACCCCTTACTGCATCTGCCTTGCTGCCTCCTATTGTGCTATTATAGCCTCACACACCACGGGCCATCCCCCTACCCTGGACCCCCTGTGATTTTTTATAGTCTCTATACGTTTTTCAATAAAGTATTTTTTATTTTATCTTACTACTTCTTTGATCTTTTTGATTGTTACACACCAGGGGATTCTATACCCCCAATGTGGGCATACCCTTAGCCGAGGGTGTTGCGGTAGATAGACTTGGGTTCTTCTCGCCACACACCCTAAGTTTCTGGGATTTTCTCTACTATAATTCTCTGTTGGGTTAGGCCCTTTCCTCTTGCCCATTTAGTCCTCTTTTGGCTCTAGGACTGGATTGTCTCCAGCTCTATAGCCACTATTTTCTCTTTAATTAACATATTTGAAAGCTTATATGGTATTCCTTGTTTTCTTTTTTTAAATAAAAATGACATATTTTACCCAGGGAATGCAATCTAACTAGAGAAGTGGAATTGTAATTTTTGTCTAATGCAATTGAATTGATTAAAAAAAATTTAAATAAAAAAATTTTAATTCCTTGTTTGCTAGATAAAATATATTGAGATGTCATTAAAATGCAAAGCAAAGTGGAAGGTAACGAAGATATACATGCTATTGGGAGTGAATGGGGTTAAAAAAAAAAGAATAACAACAAACAAAAGCAATCAAGATTATTCATTAACCCCTTAAGGACCGAGGACGGTTCAGGACCGTCATCGGCATTTTTGCCTTGCCGACCGATGACGGTCCTGAACCGTCCTAACGGTCTGGGGGTACTTACCTGATCGCCGTCGTTCCCCCGGCGGCGATCAGTGTTCCTCCGGTTGTGGGGAGACTGCCTGCAGCCTAGACAGTCTCCCCATGGCAGATTAGGACCCCTGTGGCCATGTGATCGCTTAACATAGCGATCACATGGTCACAATAGGTGTCCATAGTGCTGCCTGCAGGGGGACTGTCTGTGCTGACAGGCAGTCTCCCTGCTTGTGTAAAATCAGAAAAAATAAATAAAGTTAGTGTTAATTAAAAAAAATAAAATAATTATATATGTGTATATATGATATATAGACATATATTATATCTATATAATATATGTCTATATATCATATACATATAATGTCATACTAAGTGTATTTTTATATTAATATGTACTTATATTAATATAAAAATACACTTATAATTAAATTACACACGTATATATATAATATATATAATAACTATATATATTGTATATATATATTATTATAAAATATAAATAATAAGTAATTTAAATTAAATAAAAATTTTTTAAAATAATAATAAAAAATTTTAAAAAAATTATATAGCTATATGAAATTTTATTCTAACTGTATTTTAAAATTAATATATATATATTTATATCAAAATACACTTAGAATGAATTTTTATATATATCTATATATATAAAAATAAATAAAAATAATACGAAATATACATATGTCCATATACAAAATTACATAAATAATTATATAAATATACACGTAGACTTCAAATATATAAATATGCATATATATTTAAATTCTACGTGTGTATTTATGTGATATTTTTACATAATTCAGTAATTTTATTGATTGCAATTTGAGGGACCTGCCTGCCAACCCAGGCCTAAATTCCAGAGAATTTAATTTGCTATCACTGTATTTTACCCTGTAACATTCTACGACACCCTAAAACCTGTACATGGGGGGTACTGTTTTACTCGGGAGACTTCGCTGAACACAAATATTAGTGATTCACAACAGTAAAACATATCACAGCGATGATATTGTCAGTGAAAGTTACTTTTTTGCATTTTTCACACACAAACAGCACTTTTACTGATGATATAATTGTTGTGATACGTTTTCCAGTTTTTAAACACTAATATTTGTGTTCAGCGATGTCTCCCGAGTAAAACAGTACCCCCCATGTACAGGTTTTATAGCATTTTTTAAAGTTACAAGGTCAAATATATGGGTCAAATATTTTTACATTGAAAATGGCCAGGTTGGTTACGTTGCCTTTGAGAGGGTATGGTAGCCCAGGAATGAGAATTACCCCCATGATGGCATACCATTTGCAAAAGAAGACAACCCAAGGTATTGCAAATGGGGTATGTCCAGTCTTTTTTAGTAACCACTTGGTCACAAACACTGGCCAAAATTAGCGCTCAATTTAGTTTTTTTACTTTTTTCACACACAAACAAATATGAATGCTTACTTTGGCCAGTGTTTTCGACTAAGTGGCTACTAAAAAAGACTGGACATACCCCATATTGAATACCCTGGGTTGTCTACTTTAAAAAAAATATGTACATGTGGGGTGTTATTCAGAGATTTATGACAGATAATAGTGTTACAATGTCACTATTGATAAATTTTAAAAATGTATGTTTTGAAACCGCAATATCCTACTTGTACCTATAGCCCTATAACATGCAAAAAAAAGCAAAAAAGCACGTAAACATTAGGTATTTTTAAACTCAGGACAAAATTTTGAATCTATTTAGCAGTTTTTTTCATTCGCTTTTGTAGATGAGTAAAAGATTTTTCAAGTAAAAGTCAAAAAACATGTATTTTTTTTCAATTTTTCATCAGATTTTTTTATTTTTTTTAAATTAAAATACATGAGATTATATAAATAATGGTATGTAAAGAAAGCCCCTTTTGTCCTGAAAAAAACAATATATAATTTGTATGGGAACAGTAAATGAGAAAGCGGAAAATTACAGCCAAACACAAACACCACAAAAGTGTAAAAATATTCCTGGTCGCAAATGTACAACATCGCAAAAACAGTCCAGTCCTTAAGGGGTTAAACTCCAGACTGTAAAAACAAAATAAAGTATAAAAATAAGGTTAATAAAACAGTGACTATATTTGAGTAGGATACATTTTTCATGTCAGCTTTGTTTTCTCAAATGTAGCCATTTGGTATTATTTCTTCACAACTTTGAGAGTTTGGTAAAAAATTCTAAACAATCATTTAAAATGTTGCTGGAAACATAATTTGTTGATTTAAATTAATATCTATTTATAATATTAGTATAAGATTTTTAATATATAGTATAATTTGTATTTTTACGATAGAATGGCTCATGGAAATGGAAATGGAACATTCAATGGAGGTTTTATCCTACTAGGGTTCTTTGAATATGGAGATATACAAATCTTACTATTCTTCCTGTTCCTGATTGCTTACCTCCTTTGCATTACTGGGAACATGCTCCTGTTACTTATCATCATGGTCTGTTCACATCTGCATACTCCCATGTACTTATTACTGGCCAATTTGTCCTTTGTGGACATCTGCCTCACCTCGCTTATTTTCCCCAGATTTTTATTAACATTTTTTAACCTAAGATCAATCTCCTTGTCTCAATGCATGCTACAAGTGTATCTGTTCATTGGGTTTGAAAGTTCAGAATATCTTCTTTTGACTGTCATGTCCTACGATCGCTATGTGGCCATCTGCCACCCCCTTCATTACCACCTAACTTTAAATAAAAGGGTGTGTGCCCTTCTGCTAGTTGTGACCTGGGGCATCGCTATGTTAGATCCTGCAGCTGTTATTATTTTACTATCTAGACATCCTTTCTGTAAGTGTTATGACATTAACCATATATTCTGTGACCTTGTGCCTTTGCTGCAGTGCTCTTGTGGAGACATTTTCAAAGTAGAAGTTGCTGTATTTGTTGAAGGGGTTATTTTGAGTATACCCTCTTTTGTACTCACTATATCTTCATATGTGTCCATAATCTCTGTCATTATGAAGATAAAGACTGTACAAGGAAGACAGAAAGCCTTCTCTACCTGTTCCTCCCATGTTACTGTTATTACATTGCTCTATCTGTCTCTGATATGTGTATATTTCCAGCCTCCTGTCACAGACGTTCATCACATCACTAAGACTGTATCTCTATTAAACACAATATTAATTCCATTGCTTAACCCTATTCTATACAGTCTGAGGAATAAAGAAGTAAAACTTGCTCTTCAGAAACTTTCAAGGACAATAAAGTGGAGCAACATCATTGTATGTACAGTTTTGTAACCTCTACAAGCCTGTGCTCCTTTTGTAAAAGCAAAATGTATAAGAAACATTTATTGATATTAACTATAAGATGCAGTAATAGCTCAGAACACTATCAAACTTGTCTTTCAATCCACGGTTAATGGTCAGAATACTCAAAGTACATGAGCACAAGCATTTTAGAAAATGCAGTAGGTTGAAAAATAATATGTGAATAACATTGTCAAATACTCTCAACAGAATAAGATTACATTTGTGTAAATGATGATTAACATATTAACAAAAGAATATTACTATTAAGCTTATGCACAATAAAAAAAATGGTTTGTCCAAATTGATTCATCAGAAAAAAAAAATTGTTTAGGCGAGTTGGATTTTGTCCCTGTGTTGTTTTGGTGCAGATATACGTTGTTTATGCGATTGGTTCAGGAAAAATTATCCTGATGAACCAAAAAGATGTGAAATATTTGCTAATCAGTTTACTTAAAAATATATACATTTTGTTTACAGATCAAGGGGGAAAAAATGGGAGCAGTAAAAAAATATAATAATTATTTAGGGGCAGAGCTTGCCCTTTAACCAGAACAGATGCATGGTACACAAGCTCCTGACAAACTTTTTTAGGGGTGCTAATCCCTGCCAATCCCTGATAACCAGCGATTATTCCTGCCAACTGTGCACCACTAACATCAGGGATACCCGGTTAAGCATTTCAAATCCTTACCTGACTTTCAATTCCTGGAAAATCTCTGTTGTGGCCTACTGGGGACGAGGCCAATCCCCTCACTCACCTGTTTCCTGTGGGTACCGCTGTGCTTCCCCCCTGGACTGGCGGGGGATATCCAGATCCCCACAGAATTCTCTTGGACTAGTATTGCTGCACTCACCTCATACTCTGAGTTGTACTTCAGCCACATTTTAACTGCCACGATAACCTAAGATGGCATCTGCTCCCCATTTTGACGGACAGGGCCTGGGTTTATCCATACAGCCTCAACGCTGCTCTATTGAATCCTCCTTGCAATAATTAGATGCGATCTTTCAGGCCTTCTGGTGCAAGCTACTGGAGCGTGTGAGATCCTCCCTGACTAAGACACATTGAGACCAACAGAGCAGTACCTTGTCAGAGACAAGTGGACCCCTTAAGGCAAAAATGCTCTCTTCTTTAGCCCTCATCCCCTCCTGTGTCCTCTTTAGCCTCTCTTCTCTCCTGTACCCCTTCCCCCCCCATGTACCCTGTTTAGCTCCTCCCATATCCGGTGCCTTTCTTCGACACCCCCTCACCCCCCCATCCCCTGTGCTCTCTGTGAGCACTTCATGTCAGACCAGGTAGGGGAACAGAGGCTCCTCTGCAGCGGTCAGCCTGCTCGACCATTCTACATGTGGACCACCCCCACACACACCTGTCTCTTATTAGTCCACTGCCTAACCCTTTTACCCATTGAGGCAAATAACATGCTTTCCTGGGTGTACTGGTGTTCATGACACTGCAATAGTGAAACAACTATTTATGCCCAAAGGAAACAGTGACATAGATTGGTTACATGGCACCCAGGGAACAAATGTAATTTGGCACCCCTGAATTGTAAACAAATGTTTTTATATATCACTTTGCTCCTTCCAATCCCCTTTTTTTTAGAGATATTAAATACTCTCATTCATATACACACACATACACATATAAATAGATATTTATTCATATTGTCATACTTACAATCATATAAACACATGGACACGTATAGCAGACACACATGGATATACATACATACAAACTCATACACAAACACACAGACGTAAACATTCATACAAATATTTAAAGGGATACTGTAGTGCCAGGAATACAAAAGCTATATTCCTGGCACTACCGATCTCTCTGCCTCCCCCCTCCCTCGCACCCCTCCTACTCGCTAAGTAAAGGATTAAAAACCCTTTATTTACTTACCTTATCCCAGCGCCAATATCTCTCGGCACTGGGTTGAAGCTCCGCCCCCTCCTCTGTCCTGTGACTAGCGGGATCTAATGCGCTTGTGGGGCAAATGGTGCACGTTCATTAGACCTCCCCATAGGAAATGCTTTCCTATAGGGAAAAATATGAGGATGTCCAGCATTAGATAAAGGACCAAAAGACTGTTACGATTCCAGAAGCCCTCTAGCAGTTGTCTGATAGACAGACACTGAGGGCAGACTTAGAGCTCACAGCACCCAGACCACTTCAGGGTCACAGCACCCAGACCACTTCAATGAGCTGAAGTGATCTGGGTACCTACAGTGTCCCTTTAAGTACACACACAGAAAGATTCATATACATAGGATTCATGCTTACACATACATATTTTATTTATATAGAGCCAGCAAATTCCGTAGTGCTGTACAATGTACAATTTACATACAGACTCAGATATATATATACACACACACACTCATATACAACTACAATACTGATTCATACTAGACATTTGCAATTCTCTTCATTCTGAATCAGATTTCATAGAAAAATTTGGGTGCATTTGACATCTGACTTTTTTAATTCTTTACAAATCGTAATAAACTTAAAATTAATGAATTCAGAATAAATCAAAAAATGTTATTTTGGAATCATTCATTTTCATAAGGATAGCAAATTAGGAACTTTTCCACTGAGCAACTGAGACAGCAGAATATTGCTCCCTCAGTTAATAACTCCCTGATTTGGTAGCCATACATGAGATTTCTATTTAATTAAGAGTATCACATTTGAGACTTATCTACTAAGCAACTGAAACAGTAAAAGAAAGAAAAGGGGTATGTTCTTAATTTCGCGCTTTCAGCTGTTTAGTAGATACCTACTTTGTTTTGTGGGTCACAAAATTAGAGCGCTAAACACGGCCTTAACCTGGTATACTTTGGAATAATACAAATATTGGCGGCCAAATTTAATTTTGCTTTTAAATGTTTTTGAATTTCATCTAGTTTAAAATCGATTGTTTCTGAAAGTTAACAAACTGAAACAAATGTTTCACCCATGCACATCTCTAAATCTAACACACATACACATTCATACGCACATGCTTAATTTTTATTTCATTTATTTATTTTTTCTAATTGAGGTCCAGCTGTAGTGGAACCTCATCCATGTGGTTCAATGGTTTGCATCTTGCCCAGCTGCCTGCAGCTCCCTCTTTACTGAAGCCAGGGCTGGGGAGACACCACATCCCAACAGCCAGTAGACATACTCAGTGCACAACCAATACAGAGTGATCCCAACAGCTCCCTCACCACCAGCTCTGCAGCCAATAACAACAGCCCCAGATCAGGCACCTGCCTCATGGCTGCCCTTCCAGAAATGTGCCTATAGGCAGGTGTCTGCTCCGGTGCACTGTGCACTCCCCTTCCGCCATCACCCAGGGTCAATGACCGATGTGGGTTGTGCTTATTAAAGGAAAATGTGTTTAGTTTTTGGCAACATTATTGATACAATGTAATAAACTGTGCTCATGCAGGTACTCCATTTGTATCACTTTACAATGTATATGCTTTTTTAAACTTAGAATTTTAGTTAAATAAGTTGTATTACAACATAAAAGGCAGTTCCCACTGTTTGTTTGTTTGTTTTTTTGTGTGTAATACTTGCTATAAATGTAAGGGAACTGGTGATAAATTTAATATTTAACAATCAGCATTTCTGCTCTTCCAGAGTCCGGACGGATTTATCCCTTGAGGTAGAACAATAATTGTTTTGTCCATTATAACCTGTATCACTTGGATATATATATATATACATACTGTTTATGCTATTGTAACAATAAAGTAGAAAGCAAATATGTTTTTCTAGAACAAAAACAAAATGTACTTGCTTTTTTGTGTATTTATTAAACTGCACCTTGAAGATCATGGTTTAAATATCTACATGTTTTTTACAGCATTTACTAATGTACTTGTTTAGAGTATTGTTTAGAGGTTGGGAAAATTAATTTACATAATACCTTCAAAACAGATCTATTTACTAGAACCTAGGGGTTTTTATTTTATTTCTGGCATCGCAGCTAAGTTGAACCCGAAATGCAATTTGATAACTAGCGTAACTTTGCCACAGTGCCAGTTAGGAAAATATTCTGAATGAAGTGCGAGTGATCCAAAGGAAATTAAATTTTTTTTTTTTAAATTAAATTAACAATTTGTGCCTAAATGTGTCTACGCCTAAGTTTGTCTTAAGTACTGGGCCAGTAAAATATGCAAAAGAGTAGAAAATTAGCACACACAAAAAAGAAAATCACACACAACTATGGGAAGCAATACCAAGCAATACTCGAAAAAAAAAAGTTAGTGTTTTAGTGTGGAACCAATAACACAGAAAACCTAACAAAATTGTGAAACTTTTTATTGGTTTTTTTAAAATAGAACTCCAGTTTAACAATCTTCAACTTCTCCTATATCAAGTATCTGTATTATGACTAACCCATTCCTCCAACCACATTTCTAGATGCCATTGTATTCTGTGTTATTTGTTCTATATTTACTAGTTTATAATGAGGTACTGTATTATGGGGTTAGTCATCTTATCGATGTTCTTTTTATGAAGGTTGAATGCCATTTTCTTGCTAAATCTCCTGTCATGTTTTTCTGACAAAATAGATTTTATTGTAAACCTGTCTACATGATGCCATTTATAAGGACATAATTTGTGCCTTAGGGTTGGGGGTCAATAATCAAGTGAGCAAGTGGGCTTCTGAAATGATGGTTGCTCAGCTCTATATTCTTAAATTAAAAGTTCACGTATAATGTAGTGGGTTCAGCCCATAGGTCTTGTCTTCAGACAATTTAAAACATTTCTACAGTGGGACCTGAGTTTACAAACATCTCGGTTAACATAATTTTCGGTTTACAAATGAAAATCCATTAAAAAATAATGCCTCTGCTTACAATTTTTTTTGCAATACAAAGCAAGTTTTTTTTGCAATGCATCCTGGGAGGTTTATAGCACCACCCCCTGCATGCTGGAGTCTGCGGGTAGCACGTGACATCAAGTGTGGAGGTGTTGGAGTGGCTTTTGCATCGAGTTTTGGAGCCATTCTGGAAATTGTTTTCAGTTTTTTGGGGACTTTTTGGTGCATTTCTCAAACTGTGGAAAAGTAGGGAGCTGAGTTTCATCGTTTGCATGCCTTTTTTTGTGTGTTCTGCATTGAGGGTTGGTTTCCATGCCAGCTCATTTTAACTTTTTTTCTGACCTCTAGAACGGATTAATTGGTTTTCAATGCCTTGCTATGGGAAACCACGTTTCGATGTACAAATTTTTCGCAATAAGATACATCCCGGAGAACGCATTAAATTCGTAAACCGAGATCCCACTGTCTTTCTGAAAAATGACAATGTAACATTTGTCTAAAACCCTGTCTCTGGTGGGTCTTGGATTTTCACATGTCTACAAGCTCTGTGTCTTCATACACAGCATGGTTCTCTTAGAGAATAATTGGAACCAATGGACAATGCCATATTTTATTGCAGAGAAACCAAGCATTTAAATTCTTTAAAGCACCAGGAATACAATGTAACTTTTTAGATGATCACTTGCATACTTGAAAATGAGAGAAAACTCAATGTATCCATCCTGGTAAAATATTTTATAAATTATAAATAAATATATATATTTGGTTCTGATAGTCATTTTTATTGAAATTTCGTAATGAATTACATATAGACAACACAAAATAGCCATTAATACAGACATTCACATCTCATAAATAACCATCGTGCATAGTCTTAATGGCGACAAACAATACATCAAGACAAAACTAGCTCAAGAAGCCACAAAGGGCAGCTGTACTCGGAAATCGCCTGCATAGATCCAAAATGTGTTATATATTCCAGCATAGTTTCATATGGAATACATGGAGGGATGCAAAGAATATATATCTCCTATATCTCACCGAAAAAAAAAAAGAAACAAAATGAAAAAACCCTCATGGTGTAGTCTCCAAAATCTCAATCCACTTGTCCCATATGTTTTATTTTTTTAGAGTTAATACAAAATATGGAGACAATGCCTTGTTCCAGTTTACACTGATGTTTAGTAAAGTCTTTTATAGATTGCCAATATTCTACCTGTGCCGATTTCCAGTTTCTGGCTATAGACATTTTAAAAGCTAGAAGTATATGAATAAGTATAGATTTTTTATTTAAATGCAAAGATGGTAGATTAAGGTGTCCATATTTGTCTAATTCCCAGAAGCCTATTTGAGTGGATTAATCTCCAGCCTGATTGTATCAGGGGGCAATCATACCAAATATATGTCTTTCATTTGCTTCTAACTGACCACATCTCCAACAAAAAAAAAATCGTATCTTTAGGGAACGTTTTTGTCATTCGCGAAGGTGTCACATACCATCTTTTTAGCATTTTATACTGCATTTCCACAAAGTTTAGACAGGTTACCGTAGCGTATAGTGTCTGCAGAAATGCATACCAATACATGAGGTGGATATCTATGTGTAGTTCTTTTTACCAACTACCAAGTCCTCTGGGACAAGTGGGCCTTTTCATAGATTTCATTATTTCTAAACATCTCGCTAGTAATTTATAGTCCTTTCCCATCATTATAATATTATTAAGTTTCTTAAAAGATTCTGAATATGTTTCCTTTGGGAGTGTTGCAGTCAGTAAACTTCTAACTCTAATATAACTAAATATCTATTCCTTTGGAAGGTTATATAGTTGTTGAGGATTTCGAAAGGATCTAAGACTTATGCCGTCCAATAGTAGAGATATGTTAGAGATGTTGGCTTTAACCCATATAGTAAGATCTATATTATCCATTAAGTATTTTTTTTTTTAAATAAATGTCAAAATGCACATAAATTATCAGGGATAAATTATCTACGATTGGCTGTGTTTTATAGTTCTCTAGATGCATATGTATAATGTGTGACAGTACAGCAGCCCTATGATATTAAAAATATCCGGGAAGCTTATTCCTCTTTGTTTCTTATTCAGATATAGGCAATTTATGCTTAACTTTTCTACCCAGCCAGACAAGTTTAGAAAAAGCTGTATTGAACATTTTTAACCAAGGGGTAGGCACCTCAAACAGGACCAATCTAAAGAAATAAGAATATTTTGGCAAAATATACGCTTTCAATATATTGACCCTGCCCCGCCATGAGATCTCTAATGTTCTCCATAATTTTAAAGAATGATAGGTTCCTCTTAATAGGAGAAAAAAAAAGTTTGCTTCAATTAGTTTGTTAGAATGTGCAGTAATATTAACACCTAGATATTTATAGCTTTTTTTTACCATCTAAATCCAAATTTGTTATCTAGATTTTTAACTTCTTGTATGTTCATATATAATGGCATGGCTACTGTCTTTTCCACATTTAATTTATAGTTTGAAACCCAACTAAATGTCTGTATTGTTTGCATCACTGCTTTAGTGGACTGTTAGGGTTGCTACTTCTAGTTAAATTAGTTGATCCTAAAAATGGTCACTCAGTAGTATATATTTTTCCAAATTACCATAAAGTTTTGTGTAGACATGTATTGATGTTAACAAATATTGTGTAAACATCTGAACGAGAGTCTAGATTTCTGAGTTCTAATGAGGCATTTTCTCAAAGCAATTTTAACGTCTTTGTTACGCAGACTATATATAAGTGGATTCAGAGTAGGGATTAGAGCAATATAGAGCACAGCAAAAAACTTGTCATGCTCTAGAGAGGATACAGATTAGACTTGGGCATTTCAGAAATTTTCGTTTCGTACGAATGTATTCGTACGAAAAAGAAAATACTTTAGTCAGAACCGAATTTCGTCAATTCTTTCATTCGTTTTCGTACGATATTCGGTAGTATTTTCGTTTCGGCTAAACTTGTTCGTTCATTCGGCGCGATTTAATTGAGCCAAATGAATTGAATACATAAAACTATGTTCCCTAATCCCTAAATACCGAATAGCTTCAACCGAACTCAGTAAAACCATTCGTTTCAAATGTTGTACATTGCTAACAACATGGCATTGATTGAATTGTATTACGCTTAAAACTCCCGAACCGTCAAATGCACGAACGCTGGCATTCGCATGAAAATGTATTGGCGCTATTAGTAAATTACCGAACACCATTCACTATAGTCATTCGTATGTCGAATGGTATTGCAAATACAATGCAATCATAAAAGTCAGTTCCCTAATCCCTAAATAGCGAATAGCCTCAAGTGAACGCAGTAAAACCATTCATTCGTTTACATTTTCGTACATTGATCTCCCAACACATGGCATTGAACAATGTTCTAATCTATTTACGCCTAAAACTCCCGAACAAATTCCCGAACCGTCAAATGCACGAACACTGCCGTTCGCATGAAAATGTATTGGCACTATTAGTAAACTACCGAACACCACTTACAATAGTCATTCGCATGTCGAATGACATTGCAAATGCAATGCATTGCTTTTGCTTAGTTTCTTGGGCTCATGAATCATCATGCTTCCCTGACAGGTGGTACTGGCAACACAGTATCATTTTATAAGGGAGTGGGAAAGAAGTAGTAGCCAATTAAATAGGCTTTTACATACTGCCAGACAAAACTGTAGAAAAAAAAGTATCAACTCAAGGCAGTCCTTCAATGCAAAATCTATCCAGATTTTCTATAGGCCAGCCATTCAGCCATTTTGGAGCTCAGCCAGCCCACCACCCTGTCAGCCATTTTAGGCACTTGAACACTGAGCCTGCCAGAAGTGGCCATGTCCTCCTCCAGCTCCTCAAGTGAGATAGAAGTCATGGATGTAGTGGAGGGGGGCATTGGCCACTCTGGCCAGGAGATAGGAGAAGCAAGTGGGAGAAGCAAGCAGAAGCAGAGGCAGCCCAGGATCTTAAAAAGAGCAGATCCTGGGAGGAAGAATAAATATGCAGATAGCTTTCGTGCAGAGGAGAATACAGTACTGGTAAACAAACTTTGCCAGTACTACCAATGTATATTTGGGGGAGCAGCCAAAAAGAGTTCCAGAGCACAGAAGGAAAATCGGTGGAGGAAGATTGTGGCAGCGGTGAATGCTGTTGGAGGGAACAACCGCACCGAGGACGTGGTGAAGAAACGGTAAGTGCACTTATATTCCTAAAAAATAATTTTCTTTATGCCATGTTTTATTAAAACTTTTTTTTTTCCTCCATGTGCTTTTGCTACACACACCCACTAGTGGCAGCTATGCTTTTAAAGTCTTTTAAAAGTGAGGGTTGGGTCACTTAAGCACATAGAGGGAAAAAACACCATGTGCTTTAAAGGAACACTATAGTGATAGGAATACATGTTTGCATTCCTGTCACTATAACTGTGAAAACACAGTTTAACCTCCCTCTCAGCAATGTAACTGTAATTAAAGGGACACTCCAGTGCCAGGAGAACAAACCGTCTCCCACCCCTCATCCCAGGGGGAGACCAATTGTGCATGCGCTGCCGCCGGCGGGGTGAGACCTAATGCGCATGCGCTGCAATGCTGCACATGCACATTAGACCTCCCCATAGGAAAGCATTGAAAAATGCTTTCCTATGGGGGTTTCAGCGACGCCACTAGAGGAGGAGTTAACCCTGCAAGGTAAATATTGCAGTTTATGAAAACTGCAATATTTATTTACAGTTGCAGGGTTAAGGGTAGTGGGAGTTGGCACCCAGAAGTGGTCTGGGTGCTTGGAGTGTCCCTTTAATTACTCATCCTTATAGCAGAGCTGTGCTCTGCCTCCTTGGCTGCGATCTTCATAATTGACAAGATCAGCAAATCCAATGCTTGGTCTGGGTGCCTATAGTATCCCTTTAAACATGTCAGTAAACATATATATATAGAAACATATTAAAGTAATTAATCAATTACACATGTCATCATGTCATTGCAGTTACTACGACATCAGGCGGATGGTGAAGAGGAAGGTGAAGGCAGCAGCCGCCTCAAGGAAGACAGGAGGCGGTTCACAAGAACCGGACCTGCTGCCCTATGAAGAGGAGCTCCTGCAGTTCCTGGGAAGAGAAAACCTCCTTGGGATTGAGGGGACACCTGGCACTGAAACATCTGAAGGTACGATGTTAAAGGACCACTATAGTGCCAGGAAAACAAACTCGTTTTCCAGGCACTGTAGGGTAATTAGGTCCCTCCCCACCCTCGTGGCCCCCTTCCCACTTCAGCCACTTACCTTTCTCCAACCCCTTCAGCCACTTACATTTCTCCAGCGCAGGGCTCCCTCGGCGCTGGGGAACACTCCTCCCTCTGCCGACGTCAGCTCCGAATGCGCAGCAAGAGCCGTGCACGCATTCAAACCACCCATAGGAAAGCATTACTCAATGCTTTCCTATGGACGTCCAGCATCTTCTCACTGTGATTTTCACAGTGAGAATCGCGGAAGCGCCTCTAGTGGCTGTCAGTGAGACAGCCACTAGAGGCTGGATTAACCCTCAGTGAAACAGCAGTTTATCTAGAACTGCTATGTTTTCAGCTGCAGGCTTTAAACTAGAGGGACCTGGCACCTAGACCACTTCATTGAGCTGAAGTGGTCTGGGTGCCTATAGTGGTCCTTTAAATTCATATTTGTTAGTCGAAATGTACATATATCAGTTTGCTTGTGTTAACCTTCCAATGTGTGTTTTCTATGCCATCAGTGCAAGCCCCTCAATCCCCAGAAGAGGCACCAGGAACTGCAGGAGATGCTGTCTCCACGGAGAGCGGGGCAGCAGGTTCACCTCCTGTCTCCCTGGAAATGCGCCTGGCTTCACTTTCCTCTCGTAAGTACTTGCATAGCATTGTTAGATAAATGTTATGTGTGTGTGTGCGTGCGCATTTAAACATACACACACGTATGTGATTTTACTGTATATGAAGTTAATTTATCACATACATGTATTTCAGGCCATCCGCAACTTGTCGACGTTTCTTCACCACGTACGAGTGTGGTTTCCCTCCAACAGCCGGCCACTGGTGTCCAGGAACAGGGATCCACTGCTGAGCGTAAGTAAAAAATGCTTTAACTGTACACATTTTCTTTGCAGGCATACTAGTTTATGTAACAGGCGGGGCCGGGTCGACCGCAAAGCATACTAAGCATCTGCCTAGCATGTGCTGGCCAGGGGGCTAAATGTCTGGGTGACCAGCAGGGGTGGGGGGGAGCTCACATTGCTCCTCTCCTTCTGTTCACTTTATGTACTGTGGCTGAGTGGACCACGTGTGATCTTATCTACCATCTTCTTGGCCTGACAGGAAGCTGAGTGCAACGATCAGCTTCCTGTCATGCAGAAAAAACAGGAGATTCTCTACCTGGGGACGCTCGTCCACGATACATGTAGTGAGATTAGAAGGAAAGGGAGGTGGGCACAAAGACATGCAAACAGACAGAGAAAGGGCTAGGGGCGACAAAGATGCATAACTATACTTAGACATAATAATAAATTAATAGCATGACTGCATATATCTTATTTCCAAGTTTAAATAATATTGTTTTACAGATAATAGTAAGCATTGCAACATATGACACATGCTAACAATGTTCTTTCTCTGTTCTCCCCTATAGGTTCTGATGGTACTCTCCCCCTGCAAGAGGAGGGTACCATTACCCTAACAGCAGTGGATCCTGAGTCAGAGACATCAGTGGCCGAAGAAATGCCACAACTTCCTCCACCATTGGCTGCGCTGTATGCGACGATCCAGGCTCGTCAAGATGAACTGGAGACGTCCATACAGCAGGATAGGGAGAATCAGCGAGAACTATTGCAGAATGTAATAACCGAGGTACGCTCCATGTCGAATATTTTGAATGAGGGCGTTAGGCAATTTACATCAGCAATGGTTTCCTTGCAGCAAAATATGCAGCGCTTTATGGAAATGAGGGAGGAAGAGTGCATTTTAATGCGCGCGCAAGCTGCCCATAATTTGGGCATAACCATCGCTGATGTAGATAGCCTAGTTCGTGAAAGACGTGCGCAGGGTCTTCCCAGAAGGGATGATGATGATGAATAGATATCTGTGGGAAGAATGCACTCAGATGTTTATTTCTCATTATCATCCACAATGTGAACACAACTGACGCTGTTCATCGTAGGTTGTTACATTCTCAATTTCCTCCTGGTTTTCCCTATCCTTCCCCTGAATATACATTGGGTATTCTCCTCTGCACTATATCCTCCCAGGACTGCTCCTAACAACCTGGGCTGCCTCTGCTTTGTTGCTTCTCCCACTTGCTTTTCTAAATAAAAAAAAATATTGGATTACAACTTCTGACTCCTCTTTTCTTTAATAATTTTTATATATATATATACATACATACACACACACACACACACACACACACACACTTGAAAAAATATCACTATATATAAATAAAAATAATTACAAAAAATATATATACACATAAAGCAAATAGTAAACAGAGCACTCCTTAGGAAATTTTCAATTGTGTATTTTAGTAATCTTGATTACTTATTAAATACATGATTGAAAATTTCCTAAGGAGTGCTCAATTCACTATTTGCTTTATGTTTGGCACTGGAAGCACCCAGGTATTACAAGTTATATTTTTTAATGATGGTGAGTGTCGGATTATATATATATATATATGTATATATATATATATACAAACAAGTATATATATATATATATATATATATATATATATATAATAATTCTATGTATATATTTATGTAATAGTTTTAAATAATTAGGTCATTTTATTAATTACAATTTGCAGGACCTGACTGACAACCCAGGCCAAAAGTCCAGGGAATTTAATTTGCTAGCACTGTATATAACCCTGTAACTTTCTATGACACCATACAACCTGTACATGTGGGGTACTGTTTTACTTCACTGAACACAAATTTTAGTGTTTCAATGTATTACAACGATGCTATCGTCAGTGAAAGTGACATTTTTTACATACAAATGGCACTTACCTGGACGAGATAATTGTTGTGATACGTTTTACTGTTTTGAAACACTAATTTTGGTGTTCAGCGAAGTCTCCTGAGTATAACAGCATCCCTCATGTACAGGTTTTATGGTTGTTACGGATCGACGGGCACCCTGACTGGGTACCTTCGTTGGAGGATGCACCTAGTGCTTCCTGGGGCTTCCAGCACTCCAGCTGACACCATAACCACCGTAGAGTCCTTCAGAGCGCAAACCAGGAACAAGCTCTTACAAGAGTTTAGGAGTGATTATAGCAAGGGAACATGCAGGGCATAGCAATCCCTAGTAGCAGATTCCCCCAATAAGAGACAGGACTCAAATTGAGTGTGAAGAAGAAATGAAGATTTTAATGAGACACTGCTTTTATGAACATTTTGCACACATAGTACTGCCCACAGGGTTTTGTAAAACAACCAATCAATACGTACAATACACTCCCAGAAATTACAGACAAAATCCTCCCCTCTGCCTGTGACTTAAGTTCCTTACACAATGGGTTAATGTAATTATAACTGGCAGAGAAACACCATTTTTACACATGTACTATAACTTTAAAACTACACATTCAATATTCATAAAAATGACATATTATTAATCAGCATACTTTAATTATAAACATAGTCAAAATTCAGCCAATTCCATGCAGGGGTTAAAAATTTAGCTGGAGGTCCCTTTTTTTACCGACCGCAAGCACATTTTCCTGCCCAAAACAGTTCCATAGATTTGGGCTGTGCGGTCGGTAAATTTCACACTGAAAAAATGACTAAGTCCCATCGCCGAATGGGACTTAGTCTCTGCGGCTGCAAAATCATTGTGGGAGAAGGTAAGGCTCAGCGGTGTTCGCGGAACTGTGTAGCCGATTTCAGTTCCATGAATTTGGCTACACACACCGCTGACCGCATAGAATGAACAAAGATGGCCGCCGACACGTTTTTGTTTGCACGAACGGCGGCCCCCCAGCGTTCGGCAATAAGTCCCATCGCCGAATGGGACTTAGTCTCTGCGGCTGCAAAATCATTGTGGGAGAAGGTAAGGCTCAGCGGTGTTCGCGGAACTGTGTAGCCGATTTCAGTTCCATGAATTTGGCTACACACACCGCTGACCGCATAGAATGAACAAAGATGGCCGCCGACACGTTTTTGTTTGCGCGAACGGTGGCCCCCCAGCGTTCGGCAATTTACCTACAGCAGGCTCCCAGCCTGGGAGGTAAATTGCCTGCACACTTCCACTTCTGGCTGGTCCGCCTGTGTGGTACTTGGTTCAGTAAGCCCCATTTACTGAACCAAGTGGGAGAAAGCCAGGAACACAATATATTAACAGTCTGGGGACAAAGTCTTAAAGGGGCATTGTTCCCAAAAGTCACAATATGTCCCCAGATGGTTCTTAAAGGGGCATACACAGTCCAATAAAAGTCCATTCACTGTGCTTAAAGGGCCAGTAGTCGCACAATAAAAATCTATTATGCCTAAATATGTTCTTAAAGGACAATACATCCCAGGGGCCGTAGTCACAGGGCAGGAGGCCAGTCGGGATGCCAGGCGATCCGTTACATACTACCATTCTCATCATCCCTGCACTGACTGATAATGAGAATGGTAGTACTCAGTCAGTGCATGGATAATGAGAATGGTAGTACTGCCATTCCCATTATCCCTACTCTGCACTAACTGAGTACTACCATTCCCATTATCCCATACTCTGCACTAACTGAGTACTACCATTCCCATTATCCCTCCTCTGCACCAACTGAGTCCTACCATTCCTATTATCCCTGCTCTACACTTACTGAGTCCTATCCTTCCTCTTACCTCTGCTGTCAACATCGCCCGTCCCAAGATGGCGCCCGCATTTCTCGCCACTCAGAAGTCAATGCGGCTTCTATGTATACTATGTTTGTGCGGGCCCACACCCTCAGGGTCCACCTCCCGTGGCGCTGAAGGGGTTTAAACCCCTCTCCTCCCCGTCTGACGTCAGCTCCTGAGTGGAGCGGAATGCACATTTGAAGAGTCCAAAACATCTCCAGTGCCGAAGGTTGCCTATACCTGTACTAGAGACTGGATTAACCCCTAATGTAAACATATCGGTTTCTCTGAAACTGCTATGTTTACATCTGAAGAGTTCAAACCTGAGGGACCTGGCACCCAGACCACTTCATTGAGCTGAAGTGGTCTGGGTGACTATAGTGTCCCTTTAATCATCTCTAGGTACAGAAAATATTTCCAATTTTTAACTGTAAAAAAACACATTAAAATACATAACTCAAATTTCACACAACTGGACCTCCCACATTCACCATATCCCCAGATAGCTTGGATCTGAGCGCTCAATATATCCGAACAGCACTCTGATCCTATGAACACAGTCGAATTGCCATGGAGTTAAAGGATCACTAAATTGCCAGGAAAACAAACTGGCAAAATAGGATCTTTAGGTTCCCCCCCCCACCCTCAGGGGCCCCCCAAAGGGGGAGGAAGGGGTTAATCACTTACCTTTTTCCAGCGCCGGGCTCCCTCTGTGCTGGGGAAATCTCCCTCTTCTGACGTCAGTGCTCAATGTGCATGCGCGACAAGAGCCACGCGCACATTAAATCAGTCCATAGGAAAGCATTACTGTAACGGATCGCCTGGCACCCCGACTGGGTACCTCCATTGAACGATGCTCCTAGCACTTCCTGAGCGCTCCAAGCACTCCAGCAGATACCACAACCACCGCAGACCGAACCTCTCTTCCGACCGAGCGAAGCAGGAACAAGCTCTTAAATGAGCTTAGTAGTATAGCAAGAGAGTATGACAAACATAGCAATCCCTTGTAGCAGATTCCCCCAATAAGAGACAGGACTCCAAATTGAGGGTGAAGTAGAACTGAAGTTTTATTGAAACACTCAGCTTTTATGCCCATTTTCTACCCATAGTACCGCCCACAGGGGTTTGTAAGATGACCAATAAAACACGTAAATTATAGTAAAACACTCCCAGCAATTACACACAAATCCTCCTCTCTGCCTGTGATACAATTACTGAACACAATGGGTTAAAGTAATTATCACTGGCAGGAAAAATATACTTTTTACACAGTTAATGTAACTTTAAAAATATACATCCAATCTTCCTAAAAGTAACATATTATTATTCAGCATACTTTAATTATAAACATAGTCAAAATTCAGCTAATTACATCCAGGGGTTACAAAGTTAGCTGGAGGTCCCTTTATGACCGACTGCAAGCACATTTTCATGCCCAAAACAGTTCCATAGATTTGGGCTGTGCGGTCGGTCAATATCAGGCATAAAAATGATTAAGTCCCATTCGAATGCACGAACAGGGCCGTTCGTGCAATTGGCTCAGTAACAGTGCGTGAGTTCAAATAGCCGAACTGTGACCACCCAGCCGTTCGTCTATTAGGTCAATTAGTTGCGGTTAACCACAGCTTCTGGGAGGTTAACAGGCGGCACACTCCCATTGCGTGTGGTCTGGCCGTTCAGCAGTTTATTCGGTTAAATAAAAGGGAATACATAAGGCTAAATGCACGAACGGCATTCGAAAAATAGGGCACTGGTATCCACAAAACTGTTTTTTGTCAGTTACTTACTACACACACACAGTAAAAGATATATA